AGTATTCTTAATAAAATAAATGATATAAATATTAAATAGTATATTAACTTGTCATAAATTATAAAATGCTTTGAAATAACTTTTTATTTCTTACACTCTCAATTTTTAAGTTAAAACTTGCATAAAATATTTAAATAGATTATGAAACCTATATTTATTATCATAACAGGTACCATTGAGAGGAGGTTGGATGCTATGGAAGCAAATATTAGCTCCATGGTTTTTTGCTCCTGCTCCAGAGCAACCTGAGATTAGTGAGAAAAAACAACGGAAGTTGGAAAAAAAAATGGCTAGGCGGCATTAATATTTTGATTAGAAATAAACATGCATTTTGTATAAATATTTAAAATTTTATGGGTGCAGGATAAAGTTGAGCAAGATTATAAAACAAGACTGCCTATTATTTGAATTTTTTTCAGCCTGCATTGATTTCTACACTTTTTATGTTATAAAAAGATCGTTTTCATCTTTTTTTAAGATTTATAAATTTTAACATAAATTACAAGTAAATTTCTTAGAAATTGAATAATATTTATGAGCACTATCACATTAATTTTGGCAACTTTAGTGTTTAACAAAAGAATTTTACGAAGTGTAATATAAAAATAAACTTTTTATAATTTTTTAGTGTTTTCTATATTGTTAGACTTCATCTATTCAATCTCTAATTTTAGATCAATTCACTTTACATACTACTAAATCCTCTTCGAGAACATATGAAAATTATTATTATTATTATTATTATATTATGAATTATTGTTATTATATAATTTACATATAAGTAAAATATTCATTTTATATGTACATATGTGCATACATACGTATTTACATCTGTGCATATATTAAACAAATTACATTTATTACATAAAAAACAATATTCTACATGTAAACAAATAACATAAATTAAATACTTTTATTTGGTTTTAATGCGAATTAAATATAATACTAAATGGAATGTACTCATTATTCTTTTTAAGTTGTATTCTTTACATATCTCAAAAAAATGCATCACAGTTAATTGAAATACAATGGTTCATACACCACACTGGCTTATTGTTATGTATAGCTATAATTACATGATTCTTGCAATATTACAATATATTACATTTTACAATGAATTGCAATGAATTTTTTTTCATTGTAAATTGCACAACAAATGAATATTTCCTACTTTAAAAATACTGTATGTTTTTTATGAATTTGGAAAGTACTTTTCATTCTTATTAAAATTTCAACAATAAAATAGTAAGTAATATAATAAAATGCTGCTTATAAGCTTAAAATTAATGATTTACGATTTAAGCGGCATCTAAATCTAAACCTTTCTTTTTTCTGTAATCGTGTTCTGATTGATACCCAGGTGGATGATTATGATCATGTACACCTGTAGGCATAAATCTTTCAGCGATAACCGCACATTTACCTTTACAACCGCGATGTTGTTCAGCACATCTGTAGTGAGATCTATTCAAACCCTCAGAGCGAGAAGTCAAATTATAAACATACCCTTCATGGACTAATTGTGGCCGACCTCGTGCAGAAAGTCTGTAAATCACTGGTTCAACATCTATAATATTAAAATATGTTATTATAATATATTATTATTACTCTATTGATCTCAAAATATCATTTCTATATTTAGCTTAAACCATTCATAGAATAGGTATTTATAAATTCTCTACCTTGCTGAGTTGAATTTTCTCTTAAATTTTCAGTATTCAAGGAAAAATGTGGTAAAGTATTATCTTCGCTTCTATCACTATCATTAATTTTTGCAGTAGGAATATCAATATTCTCTTCTTCACCTACAATTTCATTTTTTATATTACTTGTTAAAAACAGGATTTCCTGATTATCATCATCCTTGTTTTCATTAGATACATCATGAGTGTTTTCTGATATTACTGATGTATTCTGTTTTTTTCTTTTGTAACTCTTTTTTGTTATATCACGTGATCTCTTTCTTCTATCTATCATTTCTATATCTTTGGAAGTTTTATTTATTGTACTTAAATTTGATTGAGCAATATTTTGAACATTAGAATCAATATCTAATTGACTATCGCAACTAGAAAACGAATTTGTGCTACTTGTATCTTCTGTTGTGAGTCCTCTTATTTGTAATGTTTGTGCCACTTTTAGGAAAGTAGATAAATCTTCTTGATTGATATTAATTTCACCTTGATACATAAATTTCAATAATGACTCTATTTCAGTATACTTTATGTCCTTAAGAATAATTACTGGATGTTGACAAGGATTTTCCTACAAAATAATTCTAAGAAGTTTCTTTCTGAGTAATCATAATGTACATACATGTGTATATATTAAATATACAAAATAATTACTTATATACCTTAAATATATTTTTGAAGTACGGACTACATACTGATAGAACTAATTTGTGTGCTTGTAATAACTGACCCTCTACTGCAAGCGTAACATCAACTAGATCGTTTTCAGTAAGATGACTTAAAAAACCAGATGTTAAATTATTAGAAAAATTGTTCCATTTCAAGGAGAATTGCTCTGACAATGAATTCTTTGCCATATTTATCTGTAAATAATGGTATTTTTATAAAAAGATATTTTATTAAAATTAAAGAATAAAATATATAATTATAAGATTAATTATTTTCTGTTAAAAAATCTACATAATTACAAGAAACATTATCTATATAATCACAAGAAAAATTCAATTCCTTCTGATTTTATTGAAAGGTATCAAAATTATTATACTTAATTATTCAAAATATACACAATTCTTCATAGTACGTACAAGAAATACTTGTAAATGTCAAAGAATATAAAGAATAGAAATATAATACTATGTTATGTCTTGTGAATCATATCATGGTGACAAACTATCGATTTCGAAACAATCGCAGTTAAAGGTTACTGACATTAAAAAAGATATTCTTTATAACATGTATTATATATTTTTGATAACTATGGGATAATTATTATGTAAATAATTTAAAACAATTGATCTAAACGTATAATCACGGAAAAGAATTTTTGCTGAAAATGAAGTTACCTTCGATAGATATGTAAGAAAGAACTTATTAGAAAAATAATCTCTTAAAAAAGCATTCATAATATTATATGAAATATGCACTGTTAGCTACATAATAATAATCTGAACATTGTTAATTATTATAATTTTTAAAAATATCAACATGAAATAAAAGATCCATAAATAAGAAATTAGGATTCCATTTTTTTTAATTTTACGATTTCTTTACGAGAATCTTTTTTTTTTCTTTAATTATTACCTTTTATAACGTAGATAAATGATGAATTAATAAATTGCTATTAGTAATAACATTTTTTATTCATTTAATTCAATTCAAAAATTCGAGTAACTTATGTTTTGACTATTGGTAGCTCATTTACTCCCTTCATGAGTATATATATTATACTGAAGTTTGCAGAGTAAGATAACATATTTGTCGCTACTGTCGTTAGTAGTGTGTAGTTTTACGTGTTCTGTAAGCCACGTCAAAATATTTATTCGATACAATGGTAAGTGTATAAATTTATTTTATAACGAAAATCTATATTAGTAACATCATCAATCATATTCTTTTATTTTATTACATTCAGTATAATATTTTATGTTGTATATGATATAATTATAATTTTACAGAATTTCTTTCCGGTACTTCTAAACCATGAGATTATTCAAAAACTATATATTTATTTATTTAATGATATGTATGTGTGTTGTTATAGGTATTATAGGTAGTGTATAGATTATAGGTATTTTACTTAATATTGTTTTTATGTTTTAATCATTTGTGCAAAAACTTTCATTTTAGTTGAGAAATATAAAAATTATAATTATATTGTTATATTAATTTGTATTTAAAAATTTTGAAACAGCATTCATAAGAACAATATATATAAAATAAATGTATATGTATTTTTATGTAAATGAATACCAAATAAATGAGGAAATGAATTTTTTTTTTAAATAAGTTCTTGTTATTTTCACTTAGGTGGAAATCGAGTCTATGACAAGATATGTCTCTCCTATAAATCCTGCAATTTTTCCATTATTGGCAGTGGTGTTATTAGGAATTGGAATATTTTTTACAGCATGGTTCTTTGTATACGAGGTTACTAGCACAAAATTTACAAGGGACATGTTTAAAGAATTATTAATTTCTCTAGTAGCAGCAATATTTTCTGGTTTTGGTATATTATTTCTGCTGCTTTGGGTTGGAATTTATGTATAGGTATATTATTTTATAAAAATTTAAAACAATAAAATTAAACTAATTTTTCATTATATTCATCTTTATCTTTTTGTTTCAGATTGATCCTATCAGTGAGAAAAACTAGTTTTAAAATTATGTATAATAGCATTTAATTACATAATAATAATCACATCATTAAGAATAAAAACAATGTATTTTTATTAAATTGTGCAATGTAGTGATCAATTTATACATTTATCACACAGAAAACAAGCATTTATATTTTTTGTGTATCTAAAAGTATTTAAGGTACATAATTTTTTTATGATTTTAAAAAAAGTCAATTAAAAATTTCGCATTCTTTACACATTTTTAATACATTATGTTTAGAAATATAACCTCGTAAGGATATTTATTTTTAGTATAATTATTTAAACCTTAATTTGTTCATTTTATATATACACACACACATATATATATATGTGTATGTGTATGTTTATTTTTTATTCGTTTTTATGTATAAAAGCTTTACGTTCACGTTATATTCTTTGTTACGAACAAAATAATGTATACAACATGAAACAAAAATACATTACTGTATATATAGCATACAATTTCTGTAACGAGAATGTCTCTTTCTTTTTATAACATATCTCTATTCCTCTATCATTGTGGAATTTACATAGTTCATTTTGCATATATCGTTTGTAATAAAATAAAATATTAAATGGAGCAACTTTATAAAAATTGAGTAAAATGATTAACCAGCCAGTCCCGCTTTTTGGCGACAGCGTTGCATAAGTGCTCTTAGCATGAATTGTCTGCGTGAAAGTTGTCGTACTTGTTTTAAAAATGCATCTAAATCTATGATACCACAACGTAAAGCTTCACCCAAGTAATATATAGCATCTTCTGTTGCTGCTTCTTCCGCATATGCGTTTAACATTCTACAATTATGCAAAAAAACAATAATGTTGTGTCAAAGAAAAAAGAAAAAAATAAATAATTATTTAAAAATACATACTGTTTGTAAAGTGGTGCGATCGTTGTAACAGCTTCATCGACGTCTATAGACTGATTGTCAGAAAGTTTTGCGATTTCTTTTTCCAATTCAGCTTCTTTATCTTGGAGTATAGTTATATTTTTTTCAAGTTCAGCCTTCTCCTTCTTCAATCTATCGAACAATTCGGTAAGATGAGCAGATCCGCTTGTAAGTTCTTGTTGCGTTCGACGTAACGTTTCTAGCTCAGCTAACAACTGTGAGAACTGTTCTTTAAGTCTTCGTCTTAATTTGTCTTCTACTGCTGACAACAAAGATGCTCTAATATGTTCTTCAGTAATTGTACCTGATGCACCAGCAGTAGCAGGTACTGTTGGAGACTTGAAAATCATAAAAAAAAGATTAATACTCAAATACCACTTACTTGTTAAAAATTATAACTTACTGGCTGTGTTGATGGAGGGTATGGAAAAGAGCCAGTACATCCTTGAGATGGATAATTTGATGTACTTCCTCCATATGAACTGTATGAGCCTTGGTATGGAAATCCAGAAGATGTTGTAGACATATATGGAGGATAAATGTTACTTCCACCTGCATACTGTGAGTTTTGTGGATATGGTGGAAAATTAGTACCAGGAATATGCGTTCCACTTGCAGGTACAGGCATGAAAGCTATATACGTTTGAATATTTTAATATTAGAATTTTTAACACGGATATTCAGAAATGATATATACTTACGTTGTACTGGATAAGGTGTAGAACTTGTTTGTATACCTCGTGGTTTAGCATAAACAGGTGGTTGTTCTCCAAATGTTACAATCATTATTTGAATTAGGCTAAGTAAATCGGATGAGTGCTAAACATAATGACAATAAACTACTATAAAGATATCATTGAACAACTTGTAAGACTTGTAAGATATAGCTATATAAATTACTCACTGGTAACCAATCATGAAGGTATGGTAAATAAATCTTTCCATTATGATCGACAAACATGCTCACTTTAATGTTCATGTCTGCAGTAGGCTTAACATAGCACATAGGTGCATTATTAGGGTGTGTGTCCATTAGCCATATACATATTGGAATGTTGTAATAAGTACCTAAAATCATTATAATAATATAACAATTCAGTTTGTATATTTATAATTATTTTTATTACCTTTATAAGATACAGGTATTGTTCCTTGTAAATTAAACAATTCTTTGTGTGATCCATCGTTAAATACTATCATAGAAAAAAACATAATAGAAATAAATTAATAAAGCCATGTTTTTTATATTTACTTTTCGATACATTGTTAAAATATTAAAAATAAATAAATTTAAAAAAAAGAGACGTTTCTAATACTTACCAAATGGTTCTATATTGTATTTTAAACCTTTATAAAGATTCAAAACTTTTATGACATGTTTTTTAGTAATATCAGCATTTTGATACTGAAAGATAAAATGTACTTCATAAATATCATCAAAAAATACACGTATATATTCGAGAAAAATATATAATACACACTTTCGATAAGCTTTGTTTTATTTTCCCCTCATCTACAGATGTCATCTTTACCATTTAACCTCGTATGTTAGAACTATACCGAAAAGATAAATAAAATCATTTTTCTTTGAAATACAAATGAGTTCCTAGCGATGAATATTAAAATTTCTTAATACTTCGAATAATTTATAAATATTGTATATCTTTCATCGTACATAACAATTTCAGACTTACACTACTGTCAACCTTTCATGTATGTATATAATCAAACATTAAGTTCGGCTATATTCTATTGCTAAAATTTCTTTAATTCGCAATTAAATAAACTAAGTAAATTCATTCGTTTGTTACTTAAAATATCTTAATGATTATAGTACCATGATTCACTATCACTTTAAATCAAGGAACACAAAAAGTTATTGAAAGGAGATTGCAATAATCATCAGTTCCTCAATTAGTAGTTAGTGCTGCCCCCGAATAAATAGCGCACATTTTAAAACCACGCATAGAGAAAAACTTGGGATATATGAAATTCAATTATTTATTACCATATACGTCAATATATAATGACAAGAGATGTAATACATAATTTCAAGAAATGAGAATATTTTTTCACGAATCTATGAATAATGAAGGAGTATGATAATTAGAATGGACTGTTAAGTAAGAAACATTTCTGAAATTCTATAAATTTGATAATTATTGTTTTTGATAATTTGAAATTGTGCTTACATATATTTTATATTATTATAAAAGTCTACAAAATTTATGTCACATGTCAAATAGTTATAACAATTGAATATTGTTTAACAAATACGTATATGTATTCAAAATGATTTTAAAGGGATTAAATATAGAATAATTATATTTATTATTAATTACCAAGTTTGTTAAAGATTAGGCAAAGAATTAAAATATAGCAATAGAGATGTATTCATTATTTATGTTATTACAATTGTATTAATATATGCACATACATGTACATACAAGCTGAAAGCATCTTCGAAAATTTTATATCTTTTATTGATCGATACATCATAATATAACGTAACATTAAAATACCAAAATGATCGAAAGACGCAAATAAATTTTTCTAGATCAAAATTTATTAAGGTTCAAGTTTCAGATTCCATTTTCTCCTTTGTTTCGCTATTTTCGGATGTATTTCTATTTTTTTCTTCAGATTTTGATTCTTTGTCAGATTTCTTTTCTTTGCTAGATTTCTTTTCACTCTTTTCTTTATCAGCCTTGTCACCGTCATTCTTTTTGCCATTATCTGATTTATCTTTGCTTCTTCTGTCTTTGTCTTTATCTTTTGATTTCTCAGAATACTTGGACTTTGAAGACCTGGACTTGGATTTAGATCTAGATCGTCTAGACTTTGATTTCGAACGTTTACTCCGAGACCGAGAACGGCTTCTTCGACGAGGAGATCTTTTTTTGCGATCTTTGGATTTAGATCTTGATCTACGAGATCGAGAACGACGAGATCTAGAACGAGATCGATGTCGACCACGAGAGCTACTTCTTCTACGAGACGGTGACTTTCGTCTGCGATCTTTAGAGCGAGAACGTTTCGATCGAGATCTTGATCTTCGTCGATGACGCGAACGTGAACGCCTGTGACGGGAACGTGATCTTTTGCGCGATCTGGATCGTCTACTACGCCCCCTGGATCTGGATCGAGACTTTCGGCTGCGAGAACCACTGCGACTTCGTTTGTCCTTCGACAGCATTCCAATCATTGGATCTATCGCAGCTGAAATTAAATTGTGAGCTTCTTTTACTCTGGACATAGCTTCTTCTATTTCTTTTTGTGCTGCTTCATTACTTTTTGCTTCCGGCTTTGCTATTGCTTGAGTTGAATGATAAATTTTAATTGGTCTATCCATGAGCAGCTTTCCATTCAATAATAATGCAGAAACTACAGCTGCTTGTTCAGAGAGTTCGACCAGTGCATAGTGCTCTGTATCTGAATCTCTGGTACACATACGTAAATACTTCACTTCAACATTGTTATTACTGAAGAAATCTAATAAGTGATCCGTTGTTACAGAAGGATCTAAATTAGCCAGAACAAGTGTTCTTCTTATTTCTTCAATTCTTCTACTGTCTAAATGACCAGGTAAATGTGGATAAGGTGGTAATCCGTTTGCCTCTAATTTTGGATCCATAGTAGTAATAACATGATTTGGAGGGATCCCTTCTATTGCATTTACAACATTTGGTGGTAATTTGGGCTCAGAAGGATAAAGACCTGTGAAAAAAAAATAAATTTATGTTTATATTTGTTTATATATATAACTGAAAATAAAGTTTAAAAGAGAATCAAACAGAATGAAAATTTGATTATCATTAATACTTACCGGGAACAACTGTGCCGTTATTTGTTAATTCAAGGGCTCTTTGTTCATCTGGAATGTCTCCATTCTGGTAAGGTATTACAATCAATGCACGATCAATAAAGACAGTGTTTGTCATATGCTGAGCAACTGCAACACATCCTTGATCGTGAAATTTTATATAGCAAATACGAGATTGAACAGGTACTGCGACGTCTCGTATAGTAGGATACAATCTGATATCTTCTATTTTTCCTAGGTATCCAAATAAAGTTTGCATTTGATCTTTCGTCGCTTGAGGTGCAATATTTGTCACTTGTACTACTTTAGTCGATCCCACCGCCATTCTGTTCACAGATTTTGTATAAAATCTCAACGTATTTTAGAGAGGTTAGGTTATTGAAAGTACTATTTCAATACTAGTTATGCATACGGAAGAATTATACACAATACAAGAAAGGATGAACTTAATTGATGCATTACAATAAGAAATAAACAAACATGATATTAATTATATCTTTTTCACTTTTTCCACAACAAATCGACGTTTCGACGCTGAAACAACGTTTCTTTTATTCAACGTAACGCATGCATTCTTTACGTTCTTTCGACAGTTTCATAGCGACGTTTGTGGCACGAACTATAAAACTCTAGATGGTTTTCATCTAGTTTATTTTTACGAGGAAAATTCACTGGTTGATCAACTTTTACAATAATTTCGTAATATTATATCATAATATATATTTCTGCTTTATTATGATGAAAAATAGTCGTTTTTTAAAAACGAAATTTTAGTTTTAATTTATACGTATATGTATATGTGCATTATGAGTGTAATAATTTATACGTTCATGAATCACCTCAGTGTACGTATTTACCTACCATATTTATAATTTATACATTCATGAGTCACCTCACTGTACGTATTTACTTACTCATGTGTGTATATATATCATATGTACAAACGAATGTAAGACTGAGTATTCATTTCATGTATCTTTATATACTTAATATCAATATACCTAATCTATATCTCATTTTTCTAATTTTCCTCATTTTTTCTATGGTTGTATCATCGAGATACATACCATAATTATGTAAGTTTAATTATACAAGTTTTTTAAAAGTTTTAATAATTAAAAAACATTATGGTAGTATTGTATAATGTAAAATATGTATAGCATTTATTTTATATAAATTGCTTTTTGTGTTTCTAATGTTATAAAATAGAATTAATAAAAATATTACCTTCATATACAAGATTTTAAAATTTTGTATTTTTTTCATAAAATACAACTGGAATACGCAAACAATCGTAAATACAAAACGCATACAAAACACATAGAAACTCCAAAAACGGTACACAAGATTCTTATATTTACATTGTATTGTTATATTTTGTATTGTTGTATTGTATTGCATCGTATAATGAGATTTCCTCAACTAGAAATACTGATTTATGTATTCTTATTAAGTATTTCACAAGAAAGAATATAAAAAAATAGTTCATTTTTTCTTAAACTTCTTCACATCATTAACGTTTATATTTAGAAATCAAATATATTTTTTAGATAATATTATTTTTCTAACATTCATTTTTGTAATATAAACATTCTCTTTCCAGGCATTAAATTTGCATATTTTAATATTACAAATATTCATTTTTATATTCATTCGCTATTGTGTAATATATATTTTGCAACATTGAAGTTATGCAACTTTTGTATAAAACGTATACTTAAAACGCATATCTTATTCGAGATAATCGAATTGCGCGGATCAACTAAATGGGATCATTCAAATATCTACTGTATTTTAAACTCCTGAGAAGTTTTTTGATACAATAAAAAATACAGTAGATATTTGAGCGATTATTTGTATTTATCTGAGATATATATGCATATACACATAAATATTACATCACCTAACGTATGCTGGTATTTCCGTTTCAAATGCAACTTTTAAATAGATGTTCATTTTTCTTAACTTCTTTCCTTTCTTTGCTTATTCGTATCATTAATAAAAGACAAAATGATGTTATTTAAATAGAATACGCAAAACGGAAATAATTACGTTGGCGGAAAAATAATTCACAGTATCAGTGTTTTTGAAAGTTAAGAAATTTTCTCTAGGTCTATACAATTATGTACATTTAGATACACGACACTATTAATCATTCTTAATCATTCTTCATGTAATTACGTCGTATAAATAACGTCGCATTCGATTATTGGTCTAATATTGTAATATTATGAATACTTAACATGAATGTAAAGCTTTTAGCCTTTTATTATTATCTATATCTATATCATAGATATGCAACACATATCACATATATGTTATTTATTTTCATTCTCTTTTTTTTTCACCAAATTTAGTCTTTAATATTATCGTAATCTATTCTCCAGTCAATCATTCCGACATTATTTACCAATATTATCAATATTTTAAGAAAAGCATGAAATTGGATATTTAAATAAATAATAGTATCATTGTTAGCATTATCGTAAAAGACATAATGTATGCATGGAATGATGTAGAAGATGATGTGATTGTGTTT